TACAAGTATTAATTTAAATTAATGTTTAACAAAATGGGAAATCTTGTTATGGAAAAGGGGTGAGAAGCCCGACCTAGGGTACGGTGTTCGCCCGTACGCTCTAACGCGCTATATCGCGGATGTAATTTCTTCCGGTGGCACCCCTGGCACGCTGAAAGGAGCCAGAAAAAATAACGGTAGAAGGAAGAGAGCCGGTCGAGTCGATTCTCGAGTGCAGCCTTCCCGCCAGCCTCCGCGAACAATGGTCAACGATTAATTATACCGTTCTCGTATCGAGATCGTTCGTGTAAAACGACGCGTTCGAACTGCCGCGAAGCGCCAATCAAGAAATTACGCGAGAAAAAAGGGTTGCACCAGCGTCGCTTTGTTGGCTCCCTGGCGCAGGCTACGCCAGAAGGAAACGCGAACCATTTTGCCAATAAATCTTTAAATCTTTAAAATGTCAGATTTCTGCCTAAATGCTCTGAAAGTGCTTTTAAGTTTCAAATCTCTCAAATATTATGGAGCTTGAATTTTAAAAATTTCACAATTTATAACCAAACTTTCGCTTTGCATTCTTCGAGTTCCAAATATTAGGATGATACCCTTTCTCGAAATCTAATTGCAATCCTCATGAATTAAGAGAAAACATGTAATTTCCGTAGTTCCCTCTAATGAGAAGACTATTAACCGTTGCTCCACTTCGCGGCAAAGATTTTTTAGCGATTTTCCCCGCGCATGGAACCGCTGTAACCGCCTAACGCGATTACGATTATAATTTTCCATCTTGCTGATAGCCCTCGAGGACAAAGGGGCGCTCGTCGGTGCGTGGTATTTAAATTACGCGATCTCGAGAGTAATTAATCCGTCAGCGAGAGTTCGGAGTCGCGTGGGCGCGCTAGATCGGGGGAAAAATCGTCGACCGGAAGCGGAGGATCCGTCGACGCGGTTGCCACGACGAAACGGAGACGCGGAAAAGCAGGCTTGGAGATCCCGATGGCGGAACCACGTTAATGAGAAGCTGCTAGGTGGTGGACGAGAGCTGCGACTGATTTACATTCCGGTTAAGTGATTTAAGGTAACCGGCGAAAGGCACTCGTTTCAGCTCTCCTCGTTGCTCGTCGTTCTATAATGAATTTAATGAGAAAACCGTCCGTAGCGTCTTTCTGTGCCTCGAATAGGAAAGAGAGAGAGACAAAAGTGGGAGGACCCGGTCGAGGTTGGCTGCTGTCGGTCGATTTTGATCCCGAGCTCATGGAACTGACGGAACGTATAATTACTAATTAAATTATTCGTCGTTATCGTCGAGCACCGGTAGCCGAATCGTAGACAATCGCCGTCGATTTATAGCGATTCGAAACGGGGGAGGGAAGTGAATGGCGTTAGACTCGACGTGGAACCTGTTCCACGTGGACGATGACGTTGTCGGGCTACGTCCACTTTGTTGCTACCTTTTTCGCTTCCCAAGGACCTTTAGCACGGACGTCTCTTATCGAATGCTGTAACTCGTTTCGATAACCTGACGGAGTCGTTCGATTCAAACCGTGTACCAGGCGTCTCACACTTTCGTCTAATTCAAAGAAATAAAGATCCTCACCCCTGAACACGAAACCTTACGAATCTCTCTCGAGGTTCACACGATCCACTTAAAACTCCATCGACGACCAAAGCTCCCCAGAGTCCCCTCGATCAAATCCCTATGAGCTCGCCGTCAATCGGGAAACCCAGAAAAAATGAGATCCAAACGGGGGTTTCGAGGGAGCCTAACACCTTCTTCTAAGCGGAGCATTCCAAAGTCAGCAGGTACTAATGAAGTCGTAAGAGGTTGGCCAAGAAACGGTGCAGCGCGGTTGAACGTCCGCTGGAAGGCTCGACGGTGGCCGTAGGATAGAGAAGGAAGGGCCCCCGGGCGGCTGGGATGATTTAGATTCCACCTAAACGATCTGTCTAACCGGCGTAGGAGAAGAGGCCCCCGGCTGACGTGCGTTCGGGTCGAGTTCATCGCTGCTCACTCGGTATAATGGATTTAATGAGAAGGTAGCCACCACCTTCCGGCCGTCCTTCCTCCTTCGGGACTGCCACGGGGGAGCGTGTCCCTTCGCGTGTAAACGCGTACGCGTGCTGTCTCGGAGCACCGACAGCATAATGGCTCTCCGGAGATCAGAAACAATGGCGCCGGCACTCGAGAGGATAATGACGGTGAAAATTGTCAGTTTGTCGTGGCAAGAGGCGTGCGTAAGTCGGTAATCACCGTTCTCGTCGACGCTGCCTCGTTATCACTGGCCCCCGCTACCGTGCACCTTGCTCTTTTTAGCAACCCAACGCCAACGGAACAAACCAACATCGTTGTTTACTCAAATTAATATCTATTCTCCCACAATAAGATTCACTAGACACATTTACATTTAAGACTTCTACATAAAAAACCCTTTTAACCCCTTGACGTACCATTTAATTTCAAAGAATTTATCAAACCTATGCTATTTAATACAACCTATGACGAGTAGTTTTATTGGCGAACGGAACAACCCAACATCGTTGTTTACTCAAATTAATATCTATTCTCCCACAATAAGATTCACTAGACACATTTACATTTAAGACTTCTACATAAAAAACCCTTTTAACCCCTTGAAGTACCATTTAATTTTAAAGAATTTATCAAACCTATGCTATTTAATACAACCTATGACGAGTAGTTTTATTGGCGAACGGAACAACCCAACATCGATGTTTACTCAACCTCAAATTAATATCTATTCTCCCACAATAAGATTCACTAGACACACTATTTAAAATTTAAGACTTCTACATAAAAACCCTTTTAACCCCTTGACGTACCATTTAATTTCAAAGAATTTATCAAACCTATGCTATTTAATACAACCTATGACAAGTAGTTTTATTGTGAAATGGACGATTCCTTTACTAGGTATCACCTAGCCTGTCTCAGACTCCACGAAAGTGGATGGCCAGTCGAGCACTTGCGAGAGAGTCAAGAGCGTCGTAGCCCTCTATCGGATTAACGCGTCAAGCTTCGTTGATCGAATAGAGATTGCAATTGTAACTCGTTGCTCCCTCAATTTTTCGGCCACCAGTTTGACTCTGACACCAATTATTATAAGTTTCCCGTGGACGTATGGTACTTTGGTCCCGTTTCAATTGCACGTGGTCGAAGATTTGATTATCCCCGTTTGTTTATCTATTACGATAGCTCGTGTCATACAATTGCGATCGAGTCCTGTTCGAGTATCGTTTCTGATAAGTGGATATGCATGTACGGATAGAAGGAGGGGGGGATTGATGAGATCCGTTGACGCCAATTGATGGAGTGTCTCCTCATCTGATGTTAACGACCATTTCAATGATTCATTGCTTCCAGTCTTGCATGTAATTCTCTTATCGTTCGAACTGCATTATTATCGTTGTAGACTCCGGTGTTATTGTACGCATCGAGATCCGTCGTTCGACCACGTTGCATCTCATTAGAGATTAAAATCGTTGTACATTATATGTCATCATTTATTGTAAAATTAAAAAGGAGTTTATTCCGTGTAGAATCGAACGAAAGGATTACGGAGTAGATCGATAGAAGCTCGTAACAATGTGTCGATGAGTAGAAGAGATGATCGTTTCGCGTTAAGAGTCTTAAATTTGAGACAAAAACGGATCGTTGATATCAGATGGACAATTACCAACTATAATTACGTATTTCACAAGGGTGATTTTTAGAACTTCCCTCGAAAAGACTGTTTCCACGGAGGTCGTCGCAGAGGTGGAGACGAATGAATGGCTACTGTGATCGCAGCTGTCGCTTTTCGAATTTCGACAATGATCCACGGGTTCGAGAAACCTATGTTTTTTTTTCCTTTCGACCAGCGTGTCAGATTTCGATGGACATTGTGCCCCGTTAACTCGCCCGGACGGGGGTTCCTTGTTTTCGAAATACCGATCTTGGATTTCGTGCCCGACGTTCTGGACCTCGAGAAGCATTGTTCGGAGCCTGTGAATCGGGATGGCCCCCCCTCGGGGATCTATTGGATCGAACGCGTCTCTCTTCTCGAGTGTGAAAATCTCGCGGTTCGGGTGTGAAAGAAACGAAGCAAATGTTTGATTTAAGACACTTCTCAAACTTCACATTGTCCACCTCAACAAGGGGACATTTTTGCTCGACTTATGTGGAAAAATATAAAATTATAAATAAAAGTTTCTCCGTATAATGATCCTTGTAGCTAGATAGCTACTGCCTATCTGCAAATTTTGGAATGTAAAAATTGAAAATAAACTTGAAAACAGCTATACTCTTGTACCCTCGAGTGGAACTTATTATTTTGCAAATATAGTTTAAAATAAGTTTGATAAAAATTTGTTTAGGAAAACCTAGCAAAGGTGATCGAAGAGAATGAATTGTGATTTGAAAAATTTACATAACCTATGCAAACGATCGCAAGAATAAAGACAAACGTTGAAAAGAGAAAGATCTACGAAAGGAGTAATTAAAATTGAATTAAAAGCGGGTTTAACAAAACTGTACTCATAAAGGATGACTCAAGAAGAAATAAAATACATCGAAAGGATTAGGAGACCTCTGAACAAAATGGCGAAACTGTAGAAAATGTCGAATATGTAAATGTGTTCTAAAATAAAAGAAAACCACTATTTTCCAACAGAAGTTTACAAAACCTTTGGAAACGGTGGTTCGATAGAAATGGTAAAAGTTGGAGAGGGTAAATATATGTATGGAAGATTTTCACGGGAAGCAATCAGGAGGAACGACAAAGAAACGCCAAGAAAATGTGAAAAAAAATAGGTCAAAGGTTTATAACATCTATGAAAAGAGCGATGGAACGAAAGAACTGGGAATAGGGACAGGCTGAAGTGAAAGTCGTTTCGAATGTATCGAATTTATACGGTTCGACACGACAAACCGAACTGGAAACGAGACAGGGGGGTCGGGGGGAACGATTACACGGTGTTCGGGCCACTTTCCAAGGATAATACTTAACGTTTATTTTGCTTTCTCACTTACAGTACAATATTTATAGGTTACTTCTGCCGCTTTAAATGTAATACTCGAATAATCGGTACAGTTTAAGATTTATCGTAACGATACAAATACAAAGGTTACACGTCGTACAGCGGGGTGTGTGAACGTTTCGCAAAAGCTCCCTAAAATTCTCACAACGTTTCCTCTCTTTCTCTCTCTCTCTCTATCTCTCACTCTCACTCTCGCGAAACATCTATAAAATCTCTCTCACGTGGAATCGTTCAAACAGAGAACGTACAAAAAAAAAAAAATAAGGAAAAAAACAAAACAAGGAAAATCAACCGCCTGAAGTACCGAGTACTTTCGTTCACGGGGGAACAAACAAAAAAAAACGAAAGAACGAAGAGTCGGAGTGCGAAAAAACGATATTTTACAAACGCGTTTTCCGACGATGGACGAGTTTTACTAGCGTCACCGGTTTTGCTTTTGCACGCTTTCGGGACTCGCTCGATGACCAACGTACAAAAGATTCGAGGGCAATAAATAAGCTACGAGGACTCCGTTAACTCGAGTTAAAACGAAGAACAAACGCTTCGTCGTGTTCGTATCTAAGGGCAGGAGGGCACGAAAAAACAAGAAAGTTAGGAAAAGACGAACTGGGGAACCGGGGGTCCAGGGAATCTATGTACAACGATTACGGAAAACGCGTTCTCCTTTCCGGTACCGGGTCGCGAGAAACACCACTTCGTGTTCCAAACACGCCACGAACGCGAGGTTAGACTTTTGAATCCGTTTATTCACCTAAACGACGCGATCGAATAAGATGTCATCCTTAAAAAATCGCGCCATGGGGCCACAGTCCCTCTTGTGTCATTTCAATTATAACTAAACCTCGTTAAACAAAAAAAAGAAATACTTGTAACGATTATCAGATTCTGGAGGAAAATGTCAATTTTATGGGAATTGTTTTTATTTGATTTTCGATGGAGCACATTGTACAGTAGAGTACAATGGAATTGTGAAGAAATATCCACGTATATGTCGTAAGGTTATTAAGGTCCACACCTAAGGCTGTAAAGAAATTTAGAAGACTGGAAAATTTCGAGATCCATGGTGAATCGATGTTGATAAAGAAAGTAGAGAAAATAAATTGACCCAAAAGATAATTGACAACCTGAAATTGATCATAGGAACACTAAATTCAGGCTCAGATAATTAAGAAATCGGCGAATTGGAACAGAGCCCATTTCTAGACAGTTCCAAGCTACACATCCCTAATGTAAAAGACTCGATGAACACAAAATCCATCGCCAAATGGTAATTTTTCGCGTCGTTTAGGTGGTTCAAAAGACGTGCAGGCGTTCGATCGCCTCGATCGCGTCGTTTAGGTGGAAGAACGGGGGGCCTAAGACTACGGACGAAGGGTACGATCGAAGGAGGAGGTTATCTGGAACGACGTGGGTGACCTGGAAGATCGCTGAGAGATCCCGAGAACGAACTTGGAGGGAACGGGGATACAAAGGGACGTGGGGGTCAGGGAGGAAAACCGTTTTTCGAGCGTCGTGCGCGATAATAATCCTTGCTACGCTATTTACACAGGGACTATGTACAATTCTCTTTCGAATTTCGTCCTCGAGCGACGAAACCTATGTCTGATAAATAATCGTTGCGTCAGACTCCACGCCCGGGGGGTGATTAGAACGGAGAGTTTTTATTTCGTTGTTACTTTCAACGATGTGCACCGTTGCTGGCCCTGTTTTCGCATCGCCGTGGCCCAATCGCGAGGTGTTCATTCCTTCCGGTGTTAGGATTCGGGATATCCTTTGGTTTAACGCGCGACGAGAGCTTTCGTTTAAGTCTGTCACGTCGTTTTTTTTAGAAATCGTTGGCTCGATTCGGTGTAGACTTCGACTCAAATCCCCAAGTTACAGCTTTACTCCGATGACACTGTACGCACCACTGTTTAGCAATTTAACCACATTAGAGAAGATCTCACACCGTTCCGAGACACGCACAGACTGCTAACACCGATTCCTCAAGGATTCCCTCGTCCTGCTCCGTGACTTTCAAAAAAGCTTCCCTCGTTGTAAACGCAAACAAGAACAAGAACAAGAACAAGGAAGCCTCCTACCCCGCGATCATCTTCTCTCCGATAGCTTCCGGTTCTTTGCCGTTTAAAACCCTGTTTCCTTTATCGAACAACCTCTAGGTCTTCAACGATGTGGCAGCCAACACGCTTCACACCCAAACACCTCCAGAACGCCGACGCTTTCGGACCAGATCCTAGGGCAACTGCTCCTCGAAGATGGATCAGAGCTACGTTCTGTCGGGTCAGAAGATGACAGTCAACGGTCGTCGGAAGGACTCGTTTCCAGGTGCGGGAGCCGTCTGGTAGCCGCTGTACTGGCTCATCTGAGGTCCGAGCAGGCCGCTACTTTGAACTGGGCCCGGATAATAGGCCGGTAGACTCGCCCCGGGACTCGCTGCCGAGGAAGTAGACGTAGAACTCGCGCTGGACGAGCCTTGCTCGGTCCTCTCGTGCTGTTTGCTCATGTCGGGCGATTCTGCCGCCGGCGACCTCGTCGAACCGCCTCCGCCCACCACGCTACCGGGGCTGGACTCCTCGTAGAGCTTGTTGTGCTCGTAGCTAGGTCGATTGTAGTCGGCTATCGTCTGTTTCTGGTCCATGTAGAGCTTCGACTGCTCGAAATACGCCTTCGCCGAGTCCAGGTAGCTCCGGTCCAGATACGATTTAGGACTGGAGTCCAGGTACTTGGGGTCGGAGTACATGCTCATCGTCAGAGTGCTGGGCGGCATGTACGCGGCACGGTACTTGTCCGCTTCCATGGAATACTTCATCGCATCCATCGAGCTCACCACCTGGAACATACAAGAGAAACGGTCGAGTTATAATATCTGCTCGATAGCCACTCTGAACCTCAATTAACCCCTTTATATAATAATTAATATATATTTCAGTTATTTATGAATTTTTTTCTCGAAACTGAGTAGGATTTCGGGGGTATATCTATTGACCACAAATGATTGCAACTAACCCCCATACACAAAAATAATTTTTTTAGAACGATTTGATATATGTAAATTTCTTCGAAAAATTTAGACACCTTCTCGAATTTTTTTCTGGAAAATGGATAGGAATTCAGGGGTATGTCTATTGACCAAAAATGATTGTAATCGACCCCTGCAATTGGAAATAATTTTTTCAGAACGATTCGAAATTTTTTAATTTCGTCGAAAAATTTCACACCTTCTCGAATTTTTTTCTAGGAAGTGAGTAGGATTTCGGGGGTATGTCTATTGACCAAAAATGATTGCAATTGATCCCTGCAGTTAGAAATAATTTTTTCAGAACGATTCGAAATTTGTTAATTTCGTCGAAAAATTTCACACCTTCTCGAATTTTTTTCTGGAAAATGGGTAGGAATTCAGGGGTATGTCTATTGACCAAAAATGATTGTAATCGACCACTGCAAGTAATAATAATTTTTTCAGAACGATTGGAAATTTCTTAATTTTGTCGAAAAATTTCACACCTTCTCGAATTTTTTTCTAGAAAATGGGTAGGAATTCAGGGGTATGTCTATTGACCAAAAATGATTGCAACTAACCCCCATGACCAGAAATAATTTTTTTAGAACGATTTGAAATATTTTAATTTCGTCGAAAAATCTCACACCTTCTCGAATTTTTTTCTCGAAACTACGTAGGATTTCGGGGGTATGTCTATTGACCAAAAATGATAGTAACTAACCCCTACAGCCAAAAATAATTTTTTTAGAACGATTTGAAATATTTTAATTTCGTCGAAAAATTCACACCTTCTCGAATTTTTTTCTCGAAAGTGGTTACAATTTCGAAGGTATGTGTATTCACCAAAAATGATTGTATACGACCCCCCTAACAGTAAATAATTTTTCCAGAACGATTAGAAATTTTTTAATATCGTCGAAAAATTTGTTCACCTACCCCCTCTGTTGATTTTCTTTCACGTTATTCATATGGTAATTTCCGCGAGCGTAACACATTTCGTTCGAAATTAATCCACAAATAAAGCCTTGATTCGCACTCCTTGGTTCTGCCTCCCTGAATTCTAGTTCCACCTCGAGTTAATGGATCCCTTGTCACGTTTACCGGCCGCCAATCAATTTTAATAAATCCATACGGCAAAAAGGACGATCTGGCGCGGCAGAGGGTTCCGAAATAGGAGCTATTCGGAACTACGGGCACAAAGGAACGCCACCGAGGGGAACGCATTCGACTCGGTCCGGTCAGCAAATCGCGAAATCGCCGGATCCGCGACGACGACGACTCCGGGCCCACTTGGGAGATTTGTTCTATCCCGGAGGACAAAGCTGCCAATGGCTATAAATTTCATAACGGTGCACGAACGAAAATCGCCACGAGCCAGAAAAGGACCGGGGTTACGGCCGCGTGAAACCGCGACGAATACTCAAAAAGGAAAGAAAGGGTTGTTCGTGAAGAAGAGAGCGCGTATTCCCGATTCTATAATTCGTGGACGAGGACCGCGCGGGACCCTTTGTCGGATCGTTAAGCGGCTTTGTCCGGATGATTTACATCCAGTCTTAGCCGCCTCGCTCGTCTCTCCTTCTGGCTACGTCCAATTGATTACCGCTCGGTTCCTCTCGCCTCAAAATCCTCCAGCGAGACTCGCGAATCGGACCTTCGCCCGACGTGGCCATACTGGCCAACGATGGATCCGGAAATTAAGTGTTTCTCGCATTCCTCGACGCTTGGGAACACACCGCAGATTGGTCGCGGAGTTTCGTGTTATTTATAGAATCGCAGGTGCTACTAGCCGATTTGATTCATCGATCTTTTGAGTTATCGCTCGGGGCAGCTCTCTCATCGTCCCGATTTATTAAATATTCCTTCGAGCTACGGACAAAGGAACGGTGTCGACGTATTTTAGATTTTAATGAAACTATATGAGGCGATAGCTCTCTATAAAGTGTAAAACAGGGTGATCGAGAACTCACAATCAGTAGTTTTGAAGATAATTAAAAAGATCTTGGAAGCCTGAGCAATCCTACTTTGTGTCGGTAATATGTTGGTCGTTCAGAGTCTAAATCGCTATCGTTCCCTTTCTATTTGACATTCACTCCGTAAACCTGACCAGTTCGTTTCAAACTCGACGTCCAATCACTGTATCGTTGCCAGCTCGTTTCTTGATCGCCCACGAGTTTCTGAACCTCCGTTAGGGGGCTACCCTTTCAATAGAAATGTTATAGATCGTTCAGTCGCCGAATCGCTATCCGAGACATTTTGCATTATAATGCAAAATCCATCTCTATTAAAATTATCCAGTGTGTCCATACAGCGAGTGGGACACCCAACATATAGATCCCATTGTACACACTTTTGTGGGATACTCAACCGTGACACGGAAGCCCACTCGAGAAATTTAGTACAAGATTGACTCGTTAATAGTCCATTAAAGCAGTCACATCACAGAACTATTTACTTGGAATCAATTACACTGGCTCATGTTCGCGATTAAGAATCGAAATTAAATTGAAAAATAGAGTTTGTAGAACACGAAGAGTTTCACCATTTCTGGCATCTTTTTTAGAACTATTAAGACATCGATGGTCCATGATCGACGAGTTAAGAACGAAGAGAACTGACGTTATGCGATAACATGGACCCCAAAGTATCTCCCGAAACGATTCGTTGCATACTTCGCAATGACCACGAAGTTTACCGCGGAAACTTTGTAAGTACCAAACGAGAGAGAGATTACTCTCCGGGGTAGTTGGTTTTAACTGCACCGTGGGGGCAGAATGCACATAAATTCGAAGAACAAAATCCGCGTTTCGATCGACTCCAAGGCCTCTCACGGCGACATTACTCCAAGTCGAATCCATAAGGAGGCAATGTGGGTGAAATATTGACGAGCCGTTGCAACAATGGCCCCGGGGTCCGACTTTCTCGCTCCAGCCAACCTTTCTGGCCCGGGGAACGGAGAGGAGCCATTTAGAAAATAAAGTGCGCTCCTAGCAAAAGACATTCCCGCATTCTGTTTTTCTCTGCCCGTCTCTCTCCGTCGTTCTGGCTTTCCGCTTTGGTCCTCGTCCCTCTCCGTCCACGACGACACATGGCAGCGCGGAGAATAGGCGCTTTTGTGAATGAAAACAGAAGAGAAACGGTACGACGTTATTGTACGCTTGAACGGCGACACCGTGCTGGTGCACGATAATTAAGTCTTGCCTGACAAGGCCTAGACCACCGCTGCAACGCCCAGAGCAGTCGACTGGGGGCGTTTTTTTTTTTCTTTTTTATACGCTCGACACTATTTTGTCTCTATCAGGCTCGATCGAATTACAAAAATGGTAGAAACGAGTGAAATAGAGAGCATTGTTCAACGTCTGTTTGCTCCACAGATTCCAGAATCGTTCAGAAATTTAAGTAGCGAAAGCTGGCTTAAAACCACCAGCGATCATCAATCATTTCTTTTTCGAGGAAGTTTGGTTAGTCTTATGTTCCAAGAATTAGCGAACATTAGAAAGAAATAGTACGATTGTTCACCATGAATACAAGACTCCATCTCGACGGAAAGATTCACAGGAAATTAGCGTCGAACGTCCCATAAATTCGTAACAAATCCCTGAAAACGCCGTAAATGCTGAAACTCGAGAGGCCATTTTTAAAACGTCTCGTGCACCTGAAGGACTCTAGCAATGTACATCGACAGGTGGATCGAAAACGAACGCAAGAGATTAACCACCATTTCTTAACTGTTCATGAATTATCAATAAATGGCGCGTGCTTCCTCGAAAGCTCGCGGAAAGGGAATTATTCAACCGAACGCCATAAATAGAGGATTCCGAACTTAACAGAACGTCGACGAAGTTATTCGTTGCAAGAATCTAGTAATACACCTTGGACGGGGTATCCAATAACGTACGTGGGAGATTAACGTCACCACTTGCTAAATGTTGGAGAATTATCAATAAATTATACGCGTTTCTCTGAAAAAACATCGTAAATACAGGACTCGGACTCAACGGTCGGTGGAAATTACTCCGTACGTCCTGATAACGTGCCTCGATAGGAATTCAATAACATACTTAAGAGATCAACGTCGACGTTTCCTTGAATATTCATAAATTCGCGACAAATGGATGTCCTTACACCGGGATGGAGATTGTTCACCCCGGTCATCGTAAATACGAGATTCCAACAGGAATATCATAGTTCATTTGGCATGTGGATTAACATCGAACATTCGCAAATCATCGATAGATTCCCCATCCCTTATATTAATTGCAACTCGTGTTCTGAGACTTGGAGACGTTTCGTAGAGTGTTGGTGACCTAATCTTTCCTAATCCTATCCCGTTTTCTTATCTTTTTCTTTGAGACTCCTCTCGTTGGATGACAGTATGTAGTGCCCCCCATCGGAGGAAGCGATCCAAGAATAATCCATAGATCGTCTCCGGTCGGTGGATCTTCCCGAATCGGGCAATGACGAGCCCCGGTGACGGCGATGACGACGCCGTTTCGTTCCAAGGGGACGATAACAGCACCGCGTTGGAATTCTTCGCTCGTGCTCGCCGGCTCGCCAATAATAGTCGTGCTGTATCGCGTCGGTGCGTCGTTCCAGACGCGTCGGCCATTCAGCCGTTGAATGCAGAAATAACTAGCTATCTGTTTGTCTCCCGTACCCAGCTGCGGAAATTCATACACAGACCACGGTCTCCGGTTTCTGTTTGCGAAGCCACCCGGGGGCCCCTTTGTTGCGACAACGAATGAAACGTACCTACGCTCGTCCTCCGCATCGTCCTCTTCTTTCTCCTCTTCATATATCCTCTCTCGCTGCTCCTGCTGCTTCTCATCAGCGATCTATCTCTCTATTTTACCCCCGACGCGTTCCCTCGCTTTCATTCCGGATTCCGGACCCTGCGGACGATCTAGCCTAGCCGGGACCCTGCCGGAGGATCGAATCTCGATCGACGATATTGTTTTCAGATTCTACTTTAATCGCTTGGTATCTTAAATATGGATTTTTGGTGATTTTGGGAACTGAAGAGATATAGGTTGATCTCTGTTTATGAGAGGAATGGTTTTAGGAAACGTAAGAAGTTGGGGTATCTTTGATGCAGAGAAGAAGACTATGTTATGTCATCCAGGTAAATCATCGGAATAATCGTTGTTCGTTTAAATATGGGTGACACGACTTTTCACCAAGGAGTTAAAAAAATTAATTCTCAAGCTTAAATGTCAAAGAAAATAAAGCTAGGTAGGGCCCCTTGAATTTTAACGGTGAAAATAAATTCAATAAGAAATGATGGGTATGCTAGTTTCCAGTTGTCTATAAACAAAATTTAATTTCCCTTGTAATTTGAGGAGTTTGGTCTGGCAGTCAACGTGTTAAGGGTGGAGTAGATCTATCAAATTGAATTTTTCTGATCGAATAATTTAGTTAATTGAGCTCATTGATATTAAAATAGTCATAGAATTCGAGTCTCAATCCTCCCCCATTTTACTCCAACACCCTCCTCTGCTACAATTTTCAAACGCATATAAAACTATATAAATATTAAATTCATACGTGATCCTCTGTTTTAACACCTTCACTGTCAGATGAAAACTCTTTAATATCCTGCAAGATTAAAATTTTGATTTCACACCATTGTAAGCTACATAACCTAAAATGTGTTGTACTTATTTTCTTGGTTAAAATAACCTTGTTAAAATACACAAATTCCATCGAAATTTATTTCCCTCGACGTCTTAACTTGAGAATTCATTTTTCTAGTATCATAGTGACCCACATATGGGTGACGTGGCAGTCAAAGTGTTGAAACGTATCGTTCTTATATTCCTCTACACTGTGCCCTACTTTCGCGATTCGATGAAATGAATTTGGACAAATTATAGTCTTGGAAGATCGTGAAATATTCTAGAGTGTCATCGAGTGGAAGAAAAATAGACGAACGGACTTTGAGAAAGATTAATAAAATTTCGTCGGGGCGATTTCGAAGAGACGCGTGAATGCAGCGATAAATCTCGGGGTTCCCCGATCGGGACTCGACGTCAAATTCCGCTGAATAGGGACACGAAAGGAATAACCGCGTGGGTGGCTCTTTTCCGCCGGCATCTCGATAACGCTCGTCCCCCCGGAGTGTGTCTTACGCATTTTTCGCGTCTGACAAATCGCGATCGTCGATGCTCCCCTTTCTCCAATTGAATCGTGCATTGTCGTCCTGACGTGCGTCTCTTCTTAATCTCTTTCACCTTTCGAAACTGTTCGATTTTGCTAATTAAAATGTCAGGCTTCAAATATCAAACTAAAGTTGCTTGGAAACATATTGTAAATTGTTCTAGCAAAAATGGATGAAAGTCAAGTATGAGTGGAGCAAAGAAATCTTTAAATAACATATACCAATTATTAGAAATTGGTCGAGCAAAATAACTTGCCAAATAAATTCGAACACCCATTTTTTGTGTTATATTACAGCATCCTTAATGGTATTCAGAAGTTTGCAAGAGCTATGGTTCATTTATAGCAAGCGTTTTAACGAATCATTGTATCTCCAAAGCGTTGATCATTGTTGATCGATGAGACTCGAAGGGAATGTCTAACAAGGGATACGAATATCTGCCATAACACTCAGCGTGCTAGGAATAATTCTAAGAATAAATATGCACCGTTTTGGTACCCCAAATTTTTTTATCAAAGAACCGGTAGACTAATTTGGGAAAATCAAATGCTGGTTGCAAAGTTGCACTCTGAATATTCATAGACCCAGAGTTCTTTTCTTTAATGTCGACTGTCGTCGATGTTAGAGCGCCTCGTTTTTCGTAACGGTACCGCGAGCGTCGATTGTGCAAAACGAGCGTGCCCCGTTTCGCGAAGGAAAACGCAACGTGCCCCGAATCCGGCCGCGAGATAAACTAAAACGGACCTCTCGCCAAACAATGCGCAATTAAAATTCCGCGCAACTCCGTCCGCTTTGTCGCAATCCTCCCCCACAACCGTTCCCTTCTTATCGTTCTGCGTCGTTGCCGTCTGACCGGGAAAGAAAACTCGGGATCCAGCGCGGCGTGTCTTCCGGAAACTCGCCGTCACCTTCCGTTTCACTTCGCGCCGCGGGCGGCGATCGAGACGCGGAAATCGCGCCCAGCGATCGCTTCGATACGCCTGCAATTCTATTCCCAGGTTTCTCTTCGATTTCACCAATTTTTATTGGGAAACAAAAGTACTTAAAGTAATTTAGTGAAGTAACTTATAAAAGTTATGAAAAATTATAAAAGTAACATTGTACTTAAACCGTAACTCTGTTGAGGATGATCCCTTGAGGCTCTAGAATAATTCCTATTGTGAGACTGTTTTTATCGAATAAGTGAGGTTATGTATATTCAAAAAATTCAACGAATTTGGTTCTTTCGATATTAGTCATTTTATGGGTACTCGAGTAATATAAATGAAGTTCGAATTTTCTGTAGATATTTCAACATTGTACTTAAAATAAATCTCTTAAGGATGATTCTTGAGGCTTTAGAATAATTCCTATTGTGAGACTGTTTTTATCATATGAGTGAGGTTATGTAGTAATGTATATTCAAAAAGTTCAACGAATATGGTTGTTTCAGTTCACCCATTTTATAGGTATTTGAGTAATATAAATTAAGTTTGAATTTTCTGTAGATATTTCAACATTGTACTTAAAATAAATCTCTTAAGGATCATCCTTGAGACTCTAGAATAATTCCTATTGTGAGATTGTTTTTATCGAACAAGTGAGGTTATGTATATTAAGTATAGGGTATGTAGTAATGTATCTTCAAAAAATTCAACATAATTCATAAGCCTCGAGATTTTAGAATAATTCCTATTGTGAGATTCTTTTTATCGAACAAGTGAGGTTATGTATTAAGAAAGTATGCAGATTGGCAAGACTGTGTGGAGTAAGTTGAGACTTATATGGAACTAATACCTAATATAATGTTACTAGTACGTAAGAATGTTAATATCACATGTTTTTCTAATTAAATACATTCTTTTACTATGATGAGTGAAATTTTATTAATATTCATCTTCCATCCTACTCCTAAACAACAACCCACCAGTAATGGAGTACAGATAAAATTGCAAAGTATCCAAGCGATGTTCACCGAATACTGGGACCGAAATGAATTACTGGAACTATTAATTAGTTAAACAGGGAGAAATTCGGCAGGTTGTACCCCTAGTTTTCGACGTCGCCCGAGGACGCTATGGGCGAAAGGGTTACGAGAAACCAGCACGAGCATCGTGAATGGCTCTCGTTAAGCGAAACGAGTATTTATTTACGAGAAACGTCGACTCACCTGAGCAGGTGCCGCGAGGCCCGCGGACATCGCCGCTGCAGACTGCTGGGCTGCCGCGGCCGCCGCCGCCATGCTGGCCGCAGAAAGAGAACTGTAAGCTGCGGCGGGACCATAATACGAGCCCATTCCTGCTTGTCCCATACTGCCAGCCATTCCTGCAACAGAACGTTCAAAAACATCAGTTGAAAATTAAGCACTCTATAAAATTTATCAAACCGAAGCGTCGAAAGTTACAATTTTCCATTTGGAATTCTTTAGGGGGACGCTTCTAACTTCTGAAGACATCCAGTTTTGTTGCCTCGAAGTCTTAATTGAGGCGTTGTACAAATTCGATTAGTCAAATATAAGTAGCCATTTTGATCATTTTCAGGAAATTGCAAATCTTCGATAGTTAATACCTACAGCATTGTTTGAATTTTTCTTGCAGATAATCTCAATTGTTAGACATTCTCTGCACATTTTAAAGGAACTCAGATGCTGTTAAAAAGCTAAACAAATAGTATTTACAACGATAATTAACCCTGTTTCCTTATGGTTCATACCATCCTAAAATAAGCCACAAAATTTGTATCAAATGTTTCCTTTAAATGCTTTAAATGCTTTAAACCCTATTTTAAGTCCTAACACCTGGATACAAAAATTCCTACAGCTTTCAAACATCACATGGATGGTTTAAAAAATGACTACACTTGATATCGTAAAGAAACGACGAATTTAAGGGTCGAGACCAGGTCTACGTTTTATTGTACACGCTGGCGAACTTTTAATGGGGATTTGGCTTTGAAACGTTTGCAAACAGGACGCAAGAGTGGCAGTAACATTGACAGGCGTGTTTCGAAGCGCGGTGCGTTTTCCCTAAACGCACGCTCGACAATAACGCAATCGACCGAGGCGATCGTTCCTTCATTTTCGATTTCAACCTCCCGACGATCGACAATGCGAATGATTAACCGAACAAGCGGGCATTTTCGTCGAGATTAATATCGAGAGCCGCGTTGCAAGAGCGCCGGCTTATCGATCATCGTCGTCGAACGACGGAAACGCGGACGAAAGAATGCCTATAGCAACGAAGCCCCATTGTCGAGGCGTCGTGAATCTCCGCGGTGACGAAGAAACGTCGCTCGATGGCTGGTTCGGTCCTTGGAAGAAGGTCGGGGATGATTGGCGGCGAGATTTATGACCGACAACGAAGAATTCACGCGCGTACGATTATTAATTGCGCGATTTTGTAACCGCCGCGCGTTCCGTGGTCTTAGCTCTATGGAATTGATACTAAAAAAAAGAACACCATATGGACGCGTTGTAAACGAATGGTATTAACGTTTTACCCCAACACCATAACACGTTCCCTAAAAGCCAAATCCATTTTGAGTTATGGAAAATCTACGGCGATAGTTCCTCCACGCGCCAACAGAGGGATACACTAAACTTGTACCTTTCTCGCAAGTACTCGATCGACCATCTATTCTGGGATAAAAATCCTAATCTCACCGTGCTCTATAATCAAATTGCTGGTTGATTACAGCCATTAGAAACTGAATTTTCCGTAACCAAGCGACTGACTCCTTAGACAAACTCCTTTTTCTAAACTTGCCATTTCAATTCTTAAGGACTGTAAAAAACAACCTGACTCACGAAGAGCAGATGTTCGACGGATCGAGACCTCGTACAAACACACACGCCCCCTCCCCCCTTTCCCCGTCGGGGTTTACACAGATTTGTTTGACGTTCCGTCCTCTTCATTGTTTCCATTGTTTCCCGCCTCGTACTGGATTACGTAATTTTTGAATTTCTCCGTTGGCGGGGCCAAAGAAAAACGGGAGGGCGGAACAATCGCCGCGAAATTATGATCGTGAATGGCCCCCGGGGCCGGAGGGCGAACGAATAATCGATGCACGAAATTTCCATTTTGCCCGTCGCCCGGGAACAAATAGTTGGCGCGAAATCGACGCCGCGGCCAGAATATGTATCTTGATTCCGACGAATTTATCGTGATTCTACAGTGATTGGATTCCAGTTAAACGGAGTTCACTTTTTCGAACGTTCGACGAGTTTCGCGACCATTATTGGCGGCTGGGGAACCGTGTCAGAAAGTCAGACGCACGATTCCCTTCGAATTTTTCTTTCACGTTTTACAACGGTACTTTGGCGCAACGATTTTCAACTGGGGAGTTTTCAACATAATTTTATTCCTAAAGAAAGACATGATTATCTTCATACTTCTTCGTTATTTTCGGAACGTTCGTTACAAACTATTTCTGAACTTGTGTCGAACGTCAAACTGTGGATAAACCAAGACTAATTTTGGTAAAATTACCAAAGTAAATTATCATTTATTTTTTATATCACTGACTGGGCAGTAAATGTTCAATTATTTAAATCGACCATCAATTTAAATTTTCGTAGCGATCAAACCACGAACAAACGAAGACAGTGAAGAATATAAAACGTAAAATTGCAGATGCAACCAAGAATGAATAAACATTTACTTTGAGAAGCGCCGGTTAAAATTGAACGTTGAACTGTTGGAGCCAACCTACATTTTTGTTGGGATCAAAACCGCGAAGAAAGGACAGTGAGGACCGTAAAATCACGCAGAGAGCCAGCGGTAAATTAATGATCGAGAAAAAGAAATGAAGCGGTCACGCGACGGCTCCTACGTTTATTTTCGAAAACACGGGTCAAAAGTCAACGTACACAGCGCTGTATCTCGGGGATCGTAGCTGGAAGGGCCCCGGGTATAAATCGTCGAATAATTCCCTTCGGCGCGGAAGGGTAGCGCTTCGTGGGCAGGATTCATTGGCTTTATGCACGCGAGAGCATAAACATGTCGCTGGCTCATTATTTATCGAATTGTCTTAGTCCACGGCGCTATTACGCGCGAGGTCGGAAGCACGTGACCACGGTTCCGATTATAAATTCAGAAAGAAAGAGAAAAAAGGGATCGGGACGAGAGATTCCGAAAAATTTACGCGTTTACGCTGCGTAATCGTCGCCCTTATCGTTCGAATTATCGACGGGGGGCTACTTTGGTTAGTTTTTCGTTCAACGAAACATCGACGCCATTGGATGGAAGGAGCTTGTTACGTAAGAGTGGTTCAGAAACATTAATTAATGTCAATATATCGACGAATGTTTCGAAAAGTAACTTTGTTTGTCTTATGGACAGCACAGGTCAGTTTGCTGAGCCAAGAAGCACATTTCATCGCTTTTTTAACGAATATTAGCGCGTTTCTTCCGCCACGAAAACTAATATACAAGGGAAATTGTTGAAATGGTTTACTGGGAAATTTTGGAGAATATTAATTTGTTGATTGGAGCGTACTCATTAATGTAATAATAACAGTGATACTGATAATAATTTCGACGACATGTCTAACTTTCGACTATTAGGCAGTCCTAGAAAACGCGAGTTTCTAAATCTTAATTTATTAACTGATAAATACGGCGAACCTTCGTTTCATGCAATGGTGATCTATGGGTCTTTCGTCTTTCGTCATCGTTCTGAAAGCAATTGCATTCCTGTGCAACACCATGCGGGTCCTTTGGATGCAAAGTACTACGCACATCCATGTTTGATCGTATCGTAATTGCTGAACCATCTCCTCCCTCATAAAACTGTGCTATCGCTTGGAAAAAGCGATCCAAAGTCGGAATTATTCCCAGAAACAGAACTGTACGAACTCCATTTTCTATGAATTCCTCCAGAAACTCATCTTAACGATTTTTAACGTTTCGTTTTCTTGAACTTCGTCATCTAATGTATTATATTTATGGTGGTACAGCTGATTCGGTTCGTTGACATCTTTCGATCTCTGTATAGTAGCAACACTACGCTCTTTCAGTGCAATCTTCTTCTCTTTTGTAATATCGTTCGTTTAAATTAATTCGCGTCCGATGCTGGATTAATTTTATGATCGTCGAAATGGTAAATTGTATCTCGAAACAGCGACGCTATTTATCGCGATTAAGGAGAGGAGGAAAGTAGGAACGCGACCGAAAGTAGAAATGGCGGTCTCCCCTTAACTTACGCGCTTAAGTCACTATCTGAGCGAACGGAAACCGCGGTCAGAAATTCCAGCCTAAGCCGATAATTTATCCCAGCCACCCACGCGCTTGTCTTATGCGCGTGCCACTGTGCGGGAAACGTGTTCGCCAACAGTCCACAAAACAGAGACAAAAAAAGAGGGTTCGCGTAGCGTTACAGAAAAAAATTGGAATAGGGAGTTAATTTTCGAGCGATTTTTATCTTGAGAATCTTGGAAACGCTTCAGAAGAATAGCAATAGGTGTAAATTTTAAATTTACTACATCTACTGCTATTTTCACGAACAAATTAACCCCTTAGCTTACAATGGCGCCTCATCAGAGACGTGATAAGTCACTAACAGAGAAAACTCAATTTTTAAGTGGATATTATGAATTGATTATAGTGATATCTTGAAATGATGTACAATGAAATTCTTATGGTACACAAAAAAGCTATTTAATAATAGAGAAAACTCAATTTTTAAGTGGATATTATAAATTGACTATAGCGATATCTTGAAATGATATCATGGCTAAAACACGATCAGACCTAACCCAAACCTAACCCAAAAGCTATTTAATAATAGAGAAAATTCAATTTTTAAGTTGAATATTATAAATTGACTATAGCAATATCTCAAAATGAATCACAATGAAATTCTTATGAAATGGTCTTATGGTACACAAAAAAGCTATTGGACTAATCAGATCTACTTCTAAATTAAATGGAAAACTAAATCATAAGGCAAGGGGGTTAATGTAGTGGAAATTTATCTTTTTAAATATACAAATACTCGAAGTGTGCTATCATCTCTATCTATCGTCTGGTAATGTGTCTGCAAGGTTGAAGTTAGGGTTAATATTTGGCGATCGAGAGACGCCCTACGTTCCCACGAGAGCAAAGAGACGAGAAACGACTTGGAAGAAAAACTGACCAAACTTGGTGACGTAATGGACGAGCGCAGTTCAAACGCAAGTGTTCGCCCGTCGACTGTTTGCCCAAGTGCATATATTCGCGATAATAACTGGACGTCGGGTGGCAGAAAAGGCGCGAAGGAACGGGGCGCTTTTGACGCGAAACGGGCAACGCGCGAACCATTAACGAGACGCTCGAGAAAATGGCAGAGGAAACGGGAGTCGGGGGCGAACCTCGAAGAAATCGCCATTATAAGACTTCCGACCACGGGATCCCGGGGGGCATCGCCGGCAACAATGCGGCTGAAACGCGAGCCGAAAAGATAAGAATATCAAAGCCCTACCAGACGAACTGTTCTTTGGCCATTGTGCCCCCGCCGCAACTGGCGCAACACACCTTCAACCCCCCTTGGCATTCTCTCCGATCCGCGAGGATCGATTCCGTCTTGTCTTTTCGTACCATAATCGCATTGTCTCCGCGATATCGTAATAACGGAACGAACCCGGGACAAATAATTGCGAGGAACTCCCGGGTTCTTTGGTAATTATGGCTCACGGAGAGATTGGACGCGGACAGAACCGAGGAAAATTGAATATCGACGAGAAATGTAATCTGCTGGTTAAATATGGAGATAATTGAATTTATTATATGAGACCTCTGGGACTTGGTTCGATGTCAGCCCTTGTCAGCCATTGTCTTAATTCGAACGGTATCGAATTATTGCTCGTTAGCCAAATTACAGATACGAGCAGAGGGGTACGTGTTTGGTTGAGTATGGAAGTAATAAAAATTTGTTATACAGAGTGTCTCGTAATTGGTGGTACAAATAGGGGATGATTCTGTGTGGAAAAATATAGAATAAAATTTGTTTATATGACCCTCTGTTTTCGAAAATAACTTTGACAATTTGTCTAGTACGCGTGTACTTGATTTAGCTTTCTAATTATTTAGGATGGGGGGGTCCAATTTCAATGATTTTCATCAACGTTCTGAACCTATTTTTCTTATACATATAACCCCCACTTGTATTCAATTTGCAAAATTGGGTTAGGTCTGGGTTAGGTCTGGGTTAGATCTGGGTTAGGTCTGGGTTAGATCTGGGTTAGGTCTGGGTTAGGTCTGGGTTAGGTCTAGGTTAGGTCTGGGTTAGGTCTGGGTTAGGTCTGGGTTACGTCTGAGTTAGGTCTGGGTTAGGTCTGGGTTAGGTCTGGGTTAGGTCTGGGTTAGGTCTGGGTTAGGTCTGGGTTAGGTCTGAGTTAGGTCTGGGTTAGGTCTGGGTTAGGTCTACATGCATGTTCTTGACAAAACATGTATCAATATGCTTCACTTTATCTGTTCATAATCGACTTAGTTTCCAAGACATTTGCAAAACTCTGCCCAAAACTTAACCACTGCTACCAAAACAGTATTAGTCCTCATAAAATGATCCAGAATTTGGCTCAACCTGTAAAGAAAATACGATCCCCATCCACCCACGTAACCAACGTCTCTTTTTCATTTGGTTCAACTATTCTGCAAATTTGATCGCCACTGTTGGTAGCCATTGCAAATTCAGTGCAATCTTGTGAACTAAAGAACGTGGGTCACACACGTGTAACAAAAGCTTGTTGTCAATCATCAAAAATTCTTATTCAGAGAAAGACTTAAGTGAAGACTTAAGTGAAGAGTTGATTGTTCGATCGAATAAACGTCACGAATGAATTGCTGTCAGCGTTATTAGTTCGAATAAAAGTTTGTACGACGTTGGTTGCGCCAGGGTGGTTCCCAGAGGGTAGTTGCAGCGTTGCAAAGTTACGGTAATAATTTCGTGCAGCTGAAAAGGCTGACTTACCGGCTCGAAGCGCATCCATAGGCACACTGGGGTACGGAATACTGTAAGGATAGCCCTCCTTCCGCAAAGTTTTCGGCTTTCTTCTGGGCCTGTATTTGTAATCGGGGTGCTCCTTCATGTGCTGCGCCCGTAACCTCTTCGCCTGATCGATGAACGGCCGTTTCTCGTCCTCCGTAAGCAGCTTCCATTCAGCGCCTGGAAATAATGCGTTTCGGTAATTAGAATCAACGAATTAACAAGCTCCGACGTTCGGAAAGTTTCGAGGGGGGAATTTTTCAAACGAAACTCCGACAGGGGGGGGGGGGCAGAATTTTAACAACCGGTGAATACATATTAAAGAGAAGAATCGATCGTAACGGAATTCTTGCGAGAATTTCCTTTCAGAAGTTCGGCTACAAGAAACTTTCATAACAGTTTGAACTCTCAAGTCTCGACACTTTTATAGCATTCGAGCCCGCTTGGAGCGACACAAACCCAAGGTATAATACTGGAAATTGAACCTCTTCCAATAGAACGGGGTTCTTTTTTCGGAATTAAAACAAAAAAACACTTTCTTATAAATTCTCATTCGAATGAAATTCTTGTCATGTTATTCGGTACATTTATAAAATAAATTTTCTATCGTTGATTCTATTGGAATTGTAGGATTATATTTAATATTTAATAGTAGAATTTCTCTTATTAAATGATATTCGTGAAGGTATATTTCGGAGATCTGTTTCTGAACTGTTCATCCACAGAAGAAAGGTCAGAGTGAAGCTTAGTTCTAACTGTTGAACTCTTATTTTTGTGTAATAAACAGCACGAGTTCGTAGACTCTATGACAAAATTAAATACTAGAATTAGAAACTTTAGACACATACAGTGGTCACTGGAGGTGATTTTTGTGACATCGTGAGGCAGGTACAATTCAATTAGAAAGGCAAAAGAATATATTTTCAAGTGCCTCGTGTAATTTATAAATCCTTTTATGTTCGAAAGAGTCGGTGGTTTCTGGGCAACGAAGCAACAAAATATTAATAAATAAAATCGTTAGGAAAATGGGGGGTTGAGGCAGAAGGGGCGACGGCGTCGCGATCGAGTGACTCTCGCGAGCACGTGTTTTGCGGTCTGTATGAAGCAGTTTGTAAACGAACGATAGGCACTTGGATAACGCGTCCGATCAATGAGTATAAAAGGCATTTGGACGCTGTGTTTACCCGGTGAAACGGCCGTGTTGTGTGCCGCCGCCGGCAGAACCAGCCGTTATGGCTGAATTATCGACGAGCCCGCGATCACGCCTCATTTAAATCCGACTCGTTGACGATTGTCCGCGCGGAAAATTGCATTTGCATTTTCCCCAGCGAAACTCCATCGTGCGCCCCGTTGTCTCTGTCGTTCAAGACGATTGTTCCCGACGCGTCATCGCGATTCACATGGGGAGGGGGGGTGGAAAAAAGCCACGATTAACGCGTTACGTGCAGGTCACGACAATTCTCCTGCTCAGCAAACCGAACGTCGAGAAAGGGTTACGAGACTCCTCGGGTAATTCAACCACCGTGCACCCTTCGAATAATAGCGGAGGGAAATAATTCCAGTTCGCGGAAACATCCAAACACAGTCAACGATGTCGTTTAGTCGTCTCGTTTTATTAGCAAGAATTTTACTCGACTCTTTTACGTGAAATTCCTATCGAGCAGAACGATTGATTTATTTGAAATTAAACGTTCATCGAGTGAGGTTTCTGTCAACATTCACATTAAAAGAAATTTTGTGTTTAATTATCTAACGAATTTGGTAACTCGTTTGCAGCAATTTTCGCGTTTAACCCGTTCGACGATGGCGCGTGGAGCCTCGAAGGGAGAACGCGAGAGAGAAAAGGGAGGTTGTTTGAGCCCGAAACAACCGATGTTTTCGCGGGTAAAATGTTCCCCCGCGTCCCCCTCCTCCTTGTGACTCTCCTCTTTCCACTTTGGCGTCGTTGTTCCTTCGGCGGTGGAAGGTCGATTGTTCCGCCGAGAATTAATTACCACTTGTTGTTGGGTTGCTAGCTGTAGCAGAGCGGGACAAAGCGCGAAGCGCGGTTCAAACGAGAAACGACGACGCGCGACGCGGCGACGCCGACTCCGACGCCGCGCGAAGTCCGTCCTCTGCGGTTGCACCGTCGAAAACAAAGGGCGCCCAGGTTGCGCCAAACTCGCTGCAACAATGCTCGATGGTGACGCCGACGCCCCGGCGTCTTTCCAACCACGATGTTTCATCCACGGGGTTTTCCTTCAATTCGTTTGATTTCCGCTAAAAATTACGCAGTTTCAAGTTTTGCAATAGTCGATCGAGTAATTTAATCATTTTTAGATTAGTCAAACGAATTGTGTTGGAAACTGTTTGATACGTTTTACTTGTATTTGTTCTTTCGAAACAAACAAACTGAAACGAGTGGTAATTATTTACTTTAGAGGCCTCAACCCCCATTTTGATGATTGTAAAATATGTTATAGAAAATAAGATTCCGAACAACTTTCTTTTACACGTCCATAGCAACGTGTTGGGATATTTTGAAAAACAGACTCCATTTTAGAGAAAATTATATGGTGAGACACCCCAAGTAACAAAGTTTTGCTAACACTTAAAAATTGATCACATCAGGAGTGACTAGGTTACTTATCAATTTGTACTATTATGCATTACTATGACTATGTTTCAGGTATGAGATAGATTCCGGGTGTGGAAGTTGCTAAAATATTCGGTTAAAATGAAACAGGAAGCGAGACAACGCGTATCCCAAAGAGGAAGAAAAGAACGAGGCCAAGGAGAGGCGCGCGACAGTAATATCAAGAACGAGCACGTTCCAGCGAGCACACAACGGGTTTGTCGAGGAATCGCTCAAGGGGGATGAAAGTTCTCGATACAGAGCGGAGATACACTACCGGAAATTCGAGGCGCACCGGAGCAGATACGTAGCGAGAGAGGATGGGATTCACGTTGCCCGATGGATCTTTTACTCTCCTCGTTATTGTTGCTGACAGCAGCCAACAACAATGAAAAGAGTTGCTTCTGCTATAGTGGAGCACACACAGAGAAAGACAGAGAAGAATGGCGAGAGCGGGCTAAACAATACGAACACGTGGTGGTTCACAATGAACCTCGCGGAACGTTGCGAGAGAACGAGAGAGGAAACGTTAGGAATCCGAGATGTTTGTCTTCCGGGACAATGTGGAGCGCTGATAACGCATTCGAGTCCAGCGACTGGTGTCGGACCATTCTTAATCCCTGTTCCACTACTTTCCGATACATTCGCCGAATATGCAAAGCCCTGAACATTTTCGTTTAATATTAATTTTTATACTACAAGTTACCAAAATCCATCGACAAAGCTGAGAAAAATGCAATCTGATCACGTTCGCCACGATACAATTACAATGTCTAATTGCAATGTAATTATACTTTTGAAAAGCATGTAATAACTGTTATTACGATTCCAGGCCAAGAGACACTTGTACTCGCCGACAGAGGGCTACGCACGACGTGTGCCTTCCTCGCAAGCACTCGACTCGCCACTGAATGGTTGCCTCATTGGAGTTCTACAATTGAGAGGGGAAAACACCCGCTCTAATAACTAAAATTAGCTTCTAAAAAGCATACACTGTACACAGACTATAAAAATAAATGACGATTCCAACCAAGTGACTCCGTAGTCTTAAACAGACACCCCGTCCTTCCGAGCTTGCTATTTCAATTCCCAATGGACCGTAAACAACAACCCTTGGAGACTCAGTTGGTCTCAGACAACAGAGGTACCACGAATTCGATCGATTCTCGAGGACGTCCGGTCGCACATGCACCGCCAACGAAAGGGGTTTCCTTTTCCGCTGTTTACATTATAGCCTATCCCAATCGATACACGTTTTCCCGTCTAAAAGGCAGGTGCCACGGACGAACAAGGGACCGGGTGGAAGGTGGGGTGAGGGTGGAGGCGACGAACGGGGCTGGACGAGGGGGTGGGTGGGTGTGGAGTCGGCGTATTTGTTTAGAACAAAGGCTTCCCGGCACTGGCGGTATTAGTAGGTAGGTATTCTCGGCCAGTACTCCTTCTTTCTCTTTCCATGGTTTCGGAGGGGACCCACGACGACGACTACGACGTCAACGACGACGACGACGACGATGAGGACCGAGCTTAAAGCACAATGGCGCCTGCTTTTCAGTCCTTTCGCTGGCGAACAATGCCGTTTATTTAACATCGTTTAAAAGTACAAAGCCTGTTAATTAATGGACGGGGTCGAAGGAGAGAAACGAAGCCGGGAAAGAGGAACCAGAAAGAAGGGGGGGGGGGCGGAGAGGACAGCCATGGCGACGGAGCCATTGCTAGCGCGGCTCTTACCACACCACCGACGTGCGCTATTGCTCCGGCATTGCTATTTCTGAAGGCAGCCCGGCATTATTTAGTCCACTGCTGCCAACCCACCGGCTGCTTTCTTCCCTCGTTCCTCTCCTTTTTACTCGTCCTCATTGTCGCGGGGGAAAACTAGGCTACTACCGCCCGCTACTACCCGGCCACTGTTTTACTCGTCTTCTCGTTCTTTTTCGCCCCTTCTGTCCCCCCCGGGTTGTTTGCGTTTTTTCTTTAGCGTGTCTTCGTTGTCGGGGGGAAACGCAACGCGCGAATATCCGACCCACACCCCCCAAGCGTTTGCTCGAACGTTTTGACTCGTTTCGAGGGAAAGAACCACCCCTCGGTGGGACTTTTTATAATCGTTAATTAAGGGAGAACCACCTAATGCGTAACGCCTCCCTAAATCGTCTCTGTTATATAAACACCTTGCATTAAATATCTACTGCTGTTATTTAAAATTTGTCGATGATTTAATAATTTTTGGGGCGGAGGGGGGTAATTTTCTTTAATGAAATACCATTGGAGACACATGTCCTGGCGGAGGGTCAAGGAAGAATATTTTATGGGGGTTGTGAAACCAGGGTTCCTGCCATTTATCCTAACTTTCTCCTAGTCAACACGTGCTTTGCAAATGTTTAGAAAATTTGGAAGTATTAGGTAATCTGTCAGTGGGAACACGATTACATTTCTAACTCAGTTTATAAAATAAAATGTTTGAAATCTGTAAAAACTGGCGAAGAAAATACTAACTCCAACGTTAGAAGCTTGAAAAGGGTCAATTTTTGGAATTGAAGGACAAAGAACTAAAAGTTTATGGTAATCTGCG